GACTTAAAGTGTTTCATTTCAGTTCTGCAGTGGATAACATTGGCTTCCCTGCAGTAAGCTGGTTGCTTAATGGTAGGTGTAGTCTGGAGGCCTGGTCCCTTCCATAGTCTGGGTTTCCCATAGAACCACAAGATTTTTAATACTGCTCAAAAATTACCTAGAGAGGTTTTGCAATGACATCAGATAGCTCTGAGGACTCTTATGTGAGTCACATCAGACCCCATAGATTTGTAGGGATCCAGCTGAAGCAGCAGATCTCACACAATTTCAAGGTCTACTGGGAGTCAAACATTCACACAGCCATGGTCCTCCAGCTCTGAGCACTGAGCCCCCCTTGATCCATCATCTGTGTTGAAGACAGAGGTAAAGAATGCATTAAACACCTCTGCCTTGTCCATGTCCCTGTTTGTGAGGTGCCCATCCTCATCCTGTAACAGGCTGATGTTATTTCTATGCTACCTTTTGCCATTAATATATTTAAAATAACTTTTTATTTTCTCACACACTTCTGACCAACTTCAACTCCAGTTGGTCTTTGGCTGTATGAATTTTCTCCCTGCACTGGCAAGCTGCATCTCTGTAGATGGAGGGGGTTGGGGGAGGGTAGGGGGGAGATAGGGGGGTGTTATTTATTTGTTTTGGGGTTTTTTGTTTGTTTTTTTAAATAATTTTGTGACAAAAACAGAAATTGAAACATTATTCCCTCCTATGGGGTGAAAACTCTGAAATTTGCTCTCTGTGGCAAAAGGGCCACTGTGATGCTGCATCTCATTTCCTCATTTAGGTTTGTGTCTTCAGACTCTGCAAAAAAATCATAGTTCTGCAGCCCTTGTAGAGTGTTCTACACTACAAATTTTAGCATACACCACAAGTTTTAATAGCATTATTAAGCCTCTTTTAGCAACACAAAGGCTGTTATAGCTGGGATGATTAAGGTGATTTGTCAACTGTGTAGTCATCACATCCCTGTTAGTCACTGCTGAATGCAAAGGACTAGAGGGTTGTTTTTTTAGATGAGTTCTTAGTCAGGAAAAAAAGCCCCTTTATTCTCTCCTTCAGTCCTGCTACAGGCAGAGCAGTAAGTCATGACTCTGAAGTTATCACTTAGCCTGGAGCTAAGCAAACTAGGCAATTATTTAGTGAAACAAAATGTGGGATAGTAAAAGAGCTGACCCCACTGCCCATGTCAGAGCCCAGAGAGCCAAGCTGGCTGCTGCCTTTGGGAGCCCAGAGGGTGCTCAGTCCAGATGGATCTGGGACTGAAGAGCAGCAGTGTCCTCGGGGCAGCAGGAACTTTGTCTCCCCAGGGACAGAAGCTTTGTCCCACTTCTGCCTCCTCTTCTCTCGTTTTCTGTGACCAGAGGCCAACGCTGGAGCTGCTTACAGCACTGCATCCTGCTGGAAGCAGTTTTGCCCCCACAGGTAAGAAACCTTGAACAAACATGAACAAAAGGTGTTGTTTGATGTTGCAAAGGAGCTGCAAGGCAGAAAATCCTTAAAATGGAAGTGCACACATAAGACTCCTTTGCAAAACATCCTCAGTAGTGTTGGAGCAGTTACCTCATTTTGCTGACTTGAAGTGAGATGGTACACAGGCTTCCTGGTTGCAAAGACCTTACAGCTTTTTCGCTGAGGTTGTCCACGGACACCTATTCAGTTACCCTTGCATAGTTTAAGTAATGCTGAATTCCTTTCACTCACAAATTATATGCTTCTACTTAACAATAGGCAATACTAGCTTTCATCCCTAAAACCAAATTTAGCAAAGAGGCATGCAAAGAGGACTGAAAAGATAGTTCAAGCTTTTGAGATAAACCCTTCTCATATCTGAGAATGAAGAGAGATCTGAAGAAGCAAGTATTATCATTCTTCAGCTGTAATCCGTGGCAGTGATTTTCCTAAATTAAGTTAGTTCATAAAATCTTTCATATAGTATTGGATTCCTCAATAAAATAACTATTTCATATTTCAGACTCCATCCTCTGTAAGATGGATACCTTTTCTTGTGGTCCAGGGAAAATACATAGATCTTCTGCTGGCTCCCCTGCCTAGAACTGCTTTTTGTACCATAGAACAGTGTGTGTCAGGTCAGTGGATGGATCCATGGACCCACAGCAGTGGATGAGTGAAATAGCTTTAACCTTCTCTCCTCCCTGGCTGCCCCCAGTCCATGGCTAACTGTAGTGGGCAGAACAAAAGCACAGCTGCTTTGCAATTCTGCATTTTGGACCACTTCCAGAGGTACCACAAGTAAGCGCTTTTGCCATGGTTCATTCAAGTGAATTTGCTTATTTTACTGAGCAATAGATATGATCAACTTTTCAGTGATCAGGACTGCTCAATGTAATAGTCCTTTAACAATAGCTTGCGTTTTTTAGGTAAAGAACATTTTAGACACAGACAGGTAGATGGACTGCATCTAGTAGTCAGAAAGCAAATTGAGAATTACCATTCTGACATGATGTGAATGCATTTGCCTCACCCTATGATTTGGTTGCTTATCATGAGTGGGGGGCTGGTACCTGGATGTGAGTCATCCAGCAAATATTGTTAATAACATGTTCAGCATTACCAGATTAAGGGTTAAGCAGAAGCATATGTACCCAGTGAAATGAGGAACATATGCTGCTGTAAACCTGAGTACTGAGTTACAGAAACAGCCCTCTGGTGTGCACCTCACTCCTGTACTATTAAATACTTGCCAAATTTCTTTAATTATTTCTGTAGCATCTTGCAAGGAACTTAAAATTCTTTGTATGAAGCAAAAGAATTCTGAGGTTTATTCACAGCTTGTTTTTGAAGCATCATGTCATTATTTCAGAGAGAATAAAATAATCACTGACACAAAATTACAGCTTCCCTGCCTAGAACAGCATCCCCTTCAAACAGGATGCTAAGAACAATGAAGTCTCCAAGGATATTTATAACAGAAGGAAATACTGAGTATGCTAGACAGAAATCTATGTTCTTTATGTCATTCCTGTGCTTTTCCACAAGCTTGCTGCACAAAATGCTTTGGGTAATATTTTCTGGTAATTCGCGTTTCCAGTTCTAACTGAAAATGAATTCAGTACCTGAACACTTTTCCATTTTCATTGGTAATCCATTTTCAGCTGTGCCACTCCTGTCAGTAGGACAAACAGCATGTTGAAAACAGGGATGCTGAAAGCCCCTGGCCCCTATGTCACTAACATGGTGCTGAAGATGTTACAAAAGAACATGGACCAGAAGGGATTTAAATATAAAATTTGAAAAGAGATAATGAATTTGACTGGTTAAAAATGTGAAAGGCTATTTTAAACTATGCATTAAGAAATGCAGAAGTGTCTTTTACATTAAGTCATTAAGGCAGATGATGTGAAGGAGCAGAAAATGCAGGGACAATGAAAAAAAAGTAGGCATTATAACAGCAAACTCTCCTGTCCTTTAACCTTATCATATCCTGTCAAGGCTCTATGACTCAGGAAATTTTCCAGCTTTCAGGGTTTCAGTTTGCATTTAAAAGGTGAATATCTGGACTGTTCCAAAATCAATGGGTGAACTGCAGAAGAGTTGGCCAAGCACATTTGATCATAGATACCATAGCGATCTGTGGTAAACAGCCTTAAGGAGTTGCACTTTTCCCCATCACAGTTGGTTTACCTAAGAGTTGAGTTTCACAGCTTCAGCACCAGCTCTTACAGACCATGAAATCCTTTATACCTGCCACCGAGGTCATTGGAGAAATCAGGTGCAAGTCTCATTTGCAGCCATCTCGCTCGGTCTGTTTGAATGCAGATAAGACTCACCTTCAATTAATAAATGTTGTGTGTGAAAATCTAATTTACATTATCAATTAGAAGTGTTCAGAAGTTTTTATAGCCCTGAGTATGCAAGTTTGTGATAATCCAGGATCCTGCAATTTCTATCAGTTTCTCTCCCTTGTGAAATAAAAGCCAGATGTATGGAAGTTAGCAGTGGAGAAAGTGATTTTAAGATAGTACTGTGTCATCCTTTTATTAAAAGGTCAAGTAAAAAATTCCATTAAAAAGATAAGTGAGAAAATACTAAGTGCAGTCAGCCATTCAATATTCACCCTTCAGCAAGATTCAAAGAGGACATTCATGCTTTTAAGTTTCTTTAATAATCTGTTTCTTTTCCTCCTTGGAAGAAAAGCAATATGCTAACTTTCAGTAATGAGTTATAGGTCAAATGTTTTTTTCTTTTAACTATTAAAGCCTTGCTCATGAGAGAAAATATCACTTCAAAGTTGATCAAGATGAAATCTACTTCAAGCAAGGAGGTTTGAATTGAATAGAACACTTCCCTGCATTTAGGTATTTATGTAATGATAGCATGGGAATATGGCAGTACATCTATATTTTTCATATTATTAATTTTGCCAAGGCTAGTAGTGGTGAAGTGGTCTTGCATGACCAGAAAGTCATAGGAATTATGTGTGCTCATGGGCTAAATCTGGTTTTATCCTCCTTCTGTAAGGCTCTCCCATAGAACACTACTGCACAGCAAGGATTGCAAACAGGAGAAGGTTTTTGGGTTTTTTTCTTCTTTAGCATGGAAGGCCAAGATCTCTGAGCCTTGCTGTCCAGCATGACAGCCACAGAAGAGTGCTACAGGCATAAAGGTGGAGGAAAAAACTCCAAACAAAAAATTTCTGGTGTTTAGATGGATTTCTGCAAGAACTGGGGCCAAATGTGTAAGGCCTGAGGAGCAGCCACCGGGCTGAACCTGAGGGTGGGTTTGCAGTGAGTGGGAAGGTGCCAGTGGGAATGTGCTCAGGAACAGAGGCTGCACCTGCAGCCAGCTTCAGAAAGGCTGCAGCCTTCTGCCCTAAGGCAGCAGAGCAAGGCCAGCAAGAGCCAGGCACTTGCATCTTCTGCTGCAGCTCAAGCAGGGAGCTTCATATCCCTGTCAGGCTAATGTTTGAGTTACACTGTTTACCAATAAAAAAAAACAAACATTACTAACCTCACTAACCTTCTGCACTCTTATTTTTCCAGCAATCTTGACAAAGAAGAGCTCTATGGTAAGTTCTTTTTTGGGAAAGAATATAATATATGCCTGCAGCAGCCCTGTGCAAATAAGCATGCCATGTGATTATTTTTTTTTGTTTAATCTTTGTAGCTAAACAGAAAATAATTTTCACTCAGAGAACTCCTGGGAAAATGCAGATGGCTTATAATCTTTTCAGACTGTGCAGAATGTGCAGAATTTCTTATGTGCAGAATTTACTTTGAAAATATTTTTCCTAGTCAGTATTTCACATTCTCTGAGAGTCAATATCTGTTCTGACATAAAGATAGATAGATAGATAGATAGATAGATAGATAGATAGATAGATAGATAGATGATAGATAGATAGATAGATAGATAGATAGATAGATAGATGATAGATGACTTGTATTTTATTTCCCCTTACTGTGAGATATCTTTTCTAGTTAGTTTCTCACTTTAATGCTTGTCATATACCCCACTAAAAGAAAATTCATTACTTTCCTCCTACTTAAGCCAGGGAGAACAGCAAGTTTGACAAGTTCTATGATACTTTGTCACAATAAAACTCCTGCAAGGCCTAGATTTTGGCCCAGTTACCCATTTCTGTACCCATTCTGGGCTGTGAGTCATTTCCCCAACACGCTGTTTGCTCTCCAGCTTATCTAACAGCACCTGATTTAGGAGTGTTTCTTGCAGCAGAAAACAATTTACAAATATTTTTGCAGATTCTCCCACAAAATGTCAGAAAAAAAAAATCATACTTGTCAACACCAGACAATTTCTGGGGGAAACATGACAAGTTTTCCAGTGGTCAACAATGCTGAAGACCTTTAAAAGATGAACATATTGTCAAGCTGAATACCAGCTCCTTTACTCACCCACAGGGCGACATGGCCAAGAGCCCACTAAAAACCACCTCACCCTGTGGCTTATAAATATATGACAAGAGGCTTATCTGAAGTGAACTGGGCTGTGACAACTTCTGCTGGTTGAGCATCTGGCCAAAATTGTATAAACTTGGCTGAGGAAGAGAGGGGGTTTTGTTCCACATGGGATTTACTGCAGCTGATGTTTCACAGGTTTGCTGGACTGGGGGGATGTCAGTCCAGCACTGACTCTGTTTATTGTCTGTTTTGATTAAATACAGGCTGCTTCAAATGCCTTTTAAATCCTTCAAACGTTGCTACTAGGGTGTTTCTCATCCATGAATCTGGTACTGAATTTACTCAATCCATATTTAAGCTTGTGTTTATAGAGCTCTTTCTGAGTTATATCAGTTCTTCTCAGAAATGAAGCTAAAAAACATCCAGGGTACTAACTCATAATAAGTTTTAATTCTAAATCATTTCATTCAAACTCTTAGAAATACCAGATCACATCACAATTTTCCTGGTAACTTATGTTCTCATGATTCTCCTAAGAAGCTCCTGCTGACCTCTTAAAAACCTTGAAGGGCTGCTATTTATTATTTCTGAAAGCTCCTATCTAACCTTGTTCTTCCTGTCTGCCACTTAGATGTTGATTTTTGTGCTCTTCCAGGTGATTTGATGTCTAAATGCCTTGTCTAACACAGTCTTTAAGCTTTAACATAATTTAATTAATTTATTTTTCACACTGTTTCCTTCTTGTGCTTCCCTCAATTGTATTTCATCACATCAATCAAGTGGGAACTCGGGTCATGATTTCCCAGGTTTTCTCCCTCCTCTTGCTGTAATGCCTCTGATTTTACATCAGCTCTTTCTGTTAAGAAGTCCTTTGCTTTGAGAAGCCACACAGGGACATCCTGTAACTTGTTCTTTCCATGATTTTCATTAAAATGAATTTTGCATGCATCATATTTGTTGAAAATGTCACAGCACCTGGGACTAGAAGCTTATCTGGCCAACTCATGGTCTCTTCATTTCTCAGAGAAACAGCTGCTCTCAACCAGCCCCACTTGATATTATCTCCTCTAAGGGATCTACCAGAATTACTAATTTTCGTATCAATATAATCAAATTCACCACACATATATGAAAACTTCATTTGCCGCTAGTAATTGTAGACTATTAGACTGAAATTTCAATTTAAAAAGAAGATGTAGATATTTTGCATATAAGTTTGTTTAACCTGTCAAGTTGATATTTACAACTTTTGTGAATTTGACAGCTCATTTATTGAAAGAAAATGTTTTGAAATACTGATTTTGGTATTTTAGGTATGCCAGGATGATTTTCCAGAGAAAAAATAAAAAATTAAAAAGAAAATTATCCTTTTCATTGTAACTCCTTTTCATTTTGCATCTAGATATTGAATAATGCTGTAACTTAATTCAAACTTGATAAAGTTGAGATTGAATGAAACACTGATTTTTCAGATAATTTGTAAGTGATGTGGGGTTTTTTTCTTCTTTTTGATTATTTTTCAAAGCACTTAGGAGAGTATGAAAATGTTCTATCTGTCTTGGAAGACTTAAACATAACCATACTGAAGGCAATAGACAAAACAAAAAAAGTAAGTAAAAATTGTGAAATTTTCTTTACACTATATTTTGTTTGTTTGGAGTATTTCCAGTAGTTTTTGCATCAGAATTTACTAATTCATGTTTAAATTTTTCCAAATATACATTTTTGTAGCAAAGTCCAGTAGGAAAATGCTTGTTAAAATGGTTGTATATGAAAACTTTAAAGTCCTGTCTGCAAACTATTGTAGTTTGGATATAGCCAAAATCTTTGTGAATGGCCTGAAGAATGTTCTTTACATTGTTATGTGAAGAGGATTCTATGTCCCCTATGAAATGTGGGTAAGTATCAACACCAACATTTGGAAATAGACCAAATTTAAAAAAATAACCTGATGGGTTAAGCAAAACCTCCTGGCCAAGAACAAGATTTCATTTCCATTTGAGGCATTTTAAACAAAAGCAGTGGTCACAGAGCCTGTCAAGAGGAGGTGTGAGGGCTGTTGCCACCACACAGCAAGAGGACCTTTACCCTGGAGGGAGGAGATGATTCTCAGGGGAAGAAGGTTGGTTTCTCCACCTGCACATCTGACCAGGGATGTGGCAGTGCTGCAGGACATGCAGGCAGCCAATCCATCTGGCACTCTGTTATGGCTGTACCTGCTCCTGTGCTCAGACCACATCCCACCTGTGTGGCTGACCAGAAGTGCATCAGTACATTGGTGATTTGCTCCTCTTCCCTGGCTGAACAGTTAAATATCCTGTGCAAGGTGGAACAGCTTCAAAAGGTGACAGAAGCAAACCCAGATCCCCCAAACCCAGCCACAGATCCACACCAGGCTCATCATCAAAACCAGAAATTTCAGCCAAGATTATTCAGTGAGATCCCCTGGGGTCAAAAAAACTTGGGTTTTTTTTTTAGTCAATCAGTGGAGAGATCAGTGTGGAGAAAGCTGTGCTTCTTTAGTGAAGCTGTTATCTTTGGTATTTGTGTGTTTGCAGGAATAAAGTACTCATACATTTTACATAACTTGCCAAAATAAAAATCCAAAAGTGTAGCGTATTTACTTAGAGCTTGAGCCAGGAAGCTGAATGTCTCTTCATTCATGCTGTGCATCTTCCACTCATAATGAACAAGTACTGACTCACTGTCTTATTGAGCTGGATATTAAAAAGCAACAGATTGGATCATTTTAGCTATGCATAATTTTTTTTAAAATAGCCATGTGTATAAAATACTACTGCTGAAGGGCAGGATGTCATCTCATAACAACTGGAAGTAAATTAAAGACAGCATTTAAGAACTACTTCAGAAGTTAATTACAAGGAGAAGTCCCAGCAGAGTAATGAGATTATAAAATATATGTACTGGCCTGACTAGAAATATGGATAAAACAATCTGGAATATTAATAAGTGTTTCATATGTCTACTTGAAGAACCCATCTAAAATATAACCAAACCACAGTTTCTTTGAATTTTATGTTTTTAACTGAGGATTCAAACCTAATGGGTTTTCTGTCTTTCAGGAATACTTCAGCTGACTATTTATTAGAGGCAACAGAAATAGAGCAAGGCTAAAACTGGAAAATTGCTTTTAATTTCATTTAGTAGAAACTCTGTATGAACACAAGCAAACAAAAAAGGTGTCCTCAAAAATTCTAAAATAGAGCTTTCTGCCAAGGATATATTCAGCCACTACAGCTTTGTATGGAAATTAAATTTTCAGTTCAAAGTTTGGATTGTTTTCAACAGGAATTCAGTTCTCAGGAAACAGATAGGTTATGTGACCTCATAGATCATTGGAGTGCAAATATTAAAATTTCTATCTTAAATGGTGCAAGTTTTGCTTCAGTTCATGGTCTAAAATCTGGATTCTGTCCATCTAAAATCAGAGCTGGATGTGCAGCAAAAGTTAGTTAGCACATTGAGATAGCATAATAAATGAAGTTTATCACCAATTACACACAGGCAGCTCATAGCTCAAGCTGATTCCCTGCTCATGCAAGCTGGTGCTCAGCAATGGTGTGGTTTGAAATGGCCATTGACATGCATCCCAGGCCAGACTTGGGTTTACTCTCCTAGTGCAGCATAAAACTTTGTCACCATTCTGCCACTGCAGCCACTGAGACCCTTGACCAGTGACTGAGTAGTATCAGCATTTATTATTATCTTCTAAATGATGTGCTAGTTGGAAAATTCATATACAGAAGAGAAATCTGGAACTGAAGACCTACACTGTGGGACCCACCAGCACACAGTGTATCTGCAGTGGCTGAGTCAGTTCCAATGACCCAGACCAGCATGATTTCTCTGTACTTTATTGCCTTCCATAGTTTGAAAGAGTTGTCAGCACAGCTTTTTTGAACTGAGTTTTCTCCAGCCTTCCTCTGCTGTCTGAAAGTGAAACCATCATCATCTGTGGCAGAAAACATTCCAGTGTTCAAGAAGCTTTTACTTTCCTTCACTTTCCTGGGGCCAGATCCCTCCTGCCAAACCAACTACACTGCACCTGGGAAGACGGGAAGCCCTTGGCAGTGCAGGAACCATGCATGCTCCATTGCTTGATGGGAAGGTGCTAAGCTAAAAACACAGAGTTAGATTTCTCCAGGAACATCTTTCAGCAGGGAAAAGATTGAGTTGCATTTGGAAGGAATATACTTCAATACAAACCCCACCTAACCAGAATATGAGCTACAGTCTTTCTGTTTCAGTACTGTGTCCTTGTGTTACATCTTCCAGCAGGAAGGAAAGTGATGACTTCTGAGTGCACACTACTCCTGTAAATACTGAAGTACAGCTCTTCTTTTGGAGACAAAAGCACAACAGGCTTGCATGGAAAGAAATGACAGTAACACAGGAAAAGAAGGATGGGACAGTGCAAATTTTCTCTTTTACAGACTCTGTAAAAGTCTGATTCTTTGCTTTGGAGGGACTTCCCTCCCTTGCAACTCTTTTCTGAAAGATACCTAACAATCTGTCATAGCAAGAGACCAGACTAGGTGAACTAGCAAAATGCATTGGAGCAGTAGTGACCAAAACTGATTTATTTAAGACTGGTTTTCATGCAGTATTTACATACACAAAACATAAACATTAATTTTAGGATTAAAACAAGACAATTATTCAGTGGAGCTACAAAGTTCTCAAATAGCCTTCCAAATCTTTTTTGGGGGAAAAACCCTAACTGCTTTTTACATGTTGCTTGTAAAAACATGGAAAGGGGGGTGTGTGGTGTACAACAGAAGATACTGGATTCAATGACCAACACAGCATGTCTAATTATCTGTTTCTGTGAAACCATTAATTTTTCTGCTTTGCTCAAAAAACCCCAAAGCAAAGCAAAGTCAGTGCAGCCTTATCATTACTTGAAAATTTCTTGAATAGTCTAAAAATAGGAGCCAGTAAAGTAAAAGAGAAGATTACAGGAGCCCAGAGAGTAACACAGGGCTTGAAATTTAGTTACTGATAGTGCATTCATGGTAATTATGTAAATCACTGCGATCTTGAGGGTTGATACCCATTATAAACCAGAATGCCTAGATTTTTTTTACTTGCATATTTGACTAATAGTAACTAGCATTTATGTAAATTTTATCTCAAAAGAAATTATCTGGGAAGAAAGTTAGATAAGCATTTGTTGACAATGGTGTTCCACCACTAACATTATATTTGAGCAAAACTGAACTTTTAAATTGGTTTTTGTTTTCACAAAAACTGTTCAAGTGGCTGGCACCCATTTTTCCATGAGGTTAGAATTTATTAACATTTTTCATAGAATGTAGTCTTGTTCTCTTTGAAATCACACTTCTTACAAGTGCACCTTTCACAGAGTTAATGCAATGAATAGTTGCTGCACAAGAAAAACAGGTATTGCTCATTTTATCCTGAGTAGTATTTCATGCACTGACTTGGAAAACAGTTCATTTGTTCCTTTAGATTTATTGGGGGTTTTTTTTATGTCAATCAAAAATCATAGCATCATTAAGATTTAGAATCATTCAAGTTAGAAAAAATCCTTAAATTCATCAAGTCCAAAATCAACCTCCTGACACTGCCAAATCCACCACTCAACATGTCCCCAGGTGCCACATCTACACATCTTTTAAATACCTCCAAGGATGAAGACTCCACCACTTCCCTGAGAAGCCTGTTCCAGTCAGTAGCTGAACTGACTGTCTCTCAACTGAAGAGAGAAATGCTGGTGATAATGCTACAAGGCAAAGAGGACTCTATGAATAAAAGCTTTTTTGTTTGGGAACATTATTAAATTATGGTTCGGAAATTTTCTTTTGTTTATTTTTAATATTGTGACTACTAGTGCAAGTCAAATCAAACTAAGATAAATTAAAAAAAGCTGTAAGCAATTAATTCTGAGGAGTCATACAAGGATATTCCAGACATTCATGCCTTTCCTTTCTAGCTCCTTAATGAAAACTCTTGGGAACTTCTTTGATCTTTTTTTGTGAAAGTTTTGTACCTAGTGGGTCAGAAAGACACAAGTCTCAAATTTTTGCCAGAAGCAGAGAAGATATGTTTAGTCAAAAATAAGGATAAAACAAAACAAAAACCCCCTTAATTTAATATTCATACCTCTAAATAGAAATTACTTCACAGCAGAAAAATAAACATTTAACTAGACATTCTCCTCTTGATACCTATCAAAACCACCAGAGGCTTTGATGTTTTCTATGCATTGTTGCACCTTTTCCCTGGAGCAATTGTGTTACACATTTCCCTGCTACCTGCTAATATCAAACACAGCCAAAACAGTTTCTTGTCTCTAAGCTATGTGATACAGCTAATAGCACCTAAATAGGAGTTACTTTTTATCCATGCATGGATTTTGTATGCCCTATTATTGCAACAACAGTGCAATGCTCTTTCAGTAGTCCCAGGGAGTGATAGATGTTCTGAGAGATGCTGTTACAAATGTGTGGCAATCTTCTTTCTAATCAGCCATGGATGCCTGTTTTATTTCATTGCTGCTCTGTCAGCACTGCAGATGGTTAGTAGAAATTGTCACTGTTCCAATTCTCTAGGTAGAATTTAAACACATCATTTATGCAAAATATAATACTTGGATAAACTTGCAAAACTTGTGCCATATTCAAAGTTGAATCTAATAATTGGTCAAATCTTGCCTCTGATCACTTTTACAGTGAGGATGCTGTAAAGATTAGATTTGTGAGATGTCACTACATTAAGCATCTCTCAATATGGCTTCTAGTGAAATTATAATTTTATTCTGATTCTTCTTTTGATTTCTTCCTACAGTCTGAACAATTAGATTTTAGGGATTTCATTTTAGTGAAGTTATCCTTACTAATTTTATATCCTCAATTTAAAGTTGTAACCCAGGGCATTGTCCCTCTAATTTGGGATTTAAACATATAGGCCAGGAGACATTCCATGATAAAGGGAAATTTAAATAGATTATTCCTTGCTGAGTCCTACTCAGTGATAACTGCTTTTCAGTTGACTTGAGGGTATTTTTTGTAAAGATGAGCATAAAAATTTTTTGTGAAATTATGTTTAATATGATATAGATAGGAAACAGAAAATTGCTAAGTTATATATTAGTAAGAAGAGTCCCACTGCTCCATCTCAAGGAGCTGCTCTTCTGGTAAATGGAGCAGCAGGGTCAGGGGGAGAGGGCTGAGGCTGGCACCAGAGACTGAGAGGAACAAGAGTTGCTGAACCTTGGTAACCCTGAGATGAGGACTACACTAGGAGATTCCTAAACCCTGCCTCCTCTGCCTTTGTAAAAGGACAACCTCTTCTGCACTTTTCAAGATAGCCTTTAGACACTTTTAAAGACCACAGTCACTTTTTCCACAGTGAAATCACTTATTATGTGCATTTTCAGTTTCATTAAACAAATCTTTGCTGCTCACAAAGGTCACAGTTGCCTCTTGATGAGGAAAATGTGGAAAATTACCCTCATTCATTCACATTCAGTAAAACTAACAAGCTGATCAATATGTTAACACAGACTTATTTCATCTTTACTGCCCAAACTGTGGTGCAGTGTGATGTGTATGGTAATGAACAGTAATTTACAGCTAAGGAAATTCAAGAAATGACCCATTTTTCTAGTTTATGTACAGACACCATCCATGGGTGCCATTACTGATTGGTGGCTTGATGCTCTGGCAGTACATATGCTGGGCATGCCAGTTTAGCAGATTCTACCATAATAAAAATTTAATAAATTGATAGAACAATGTTGTACCAGTGTGCCTCGAATAAAACACAAAATAAGGTACTTTTTCAAAGGAAATAGAGTGGTGAAATTATACCAAAGCATTGCTAATTCCTCAATGCTGAGAGCTGGGCTTGAGGTTTAAATTGAATTGTAATGGACAATCTTTTTCCCTCCATTACTTAAATTACAATTATTCAGTTCATTTATATATGCTGAATACCTTCTTCTGTGATCTTTGAAGAACTTTAGAAAGACAGGTAGTAGCTATTTTTCACTGGCTGGGCCCAATATTGCTGTGAGCTCAGAATTTCTTGACTCACAAATTCTTCAAAGAAAACAGTAAATAATTTGTAATTATTTGTTCAACTACGTACATTGAGAGAGTTAATAATTCCGCATAGAATATTTGTAAGCACTAATATTTGGGTAAAATATACTTAAGGAAAAGGCCTTTGATCATTCTAGACTGCAAAATATGCTGTTAACATCCTGGCTACCTTTCCCATCTTCAAAAATAGCTCTGTAAATCTGATAAGGTAAGTCTAAGACATATCTAAAGATCACAAGGACCTTTTACATAGTGAAGCTTTTAAATTTAGAAGTTATGGGACATGAATATAAAGAAAAAAAGACTAAATCCCAGTGCAATGCACAAACTTGGAGTAGTTCTAATGAAAAAAAAAAATCTTACTAGCTTTAAGATGCAGGAAAGCTTTTCTAGGTTGTTTTTTTTTTTTTTCTTAAGGAGTTAGAAAGAAGAAGCCTCAGACAGCAGCAAGTATTACACAGCTAATGTTTATATGATCCCCATATCTGTAAGAGCCCACCTGAAGAATTTTCAAAATGACACAATACTGATGTACATTTAGGCTGCAATTCAGCATGCCTGTATCAGACTTGCCATGAGTATAATCAGGAAGCATTATGGAGATATTTGCAACATTTACTTTCTGGATGCCCAGAATTTCAAAACACAATTCAAAAACTTACAAGAAATGGTCAGTTCTGGGATTATTTCTTCACTTATTTCCAAGAGCAATGGCAAAAGCTGAAAAAGAAATGAAACTATACCTTGGATTTCCACTGAAAGGTTTAAATTATCTGTCCATGCTGCACAGATTCATACATGTTGTTCTAACATGCCAGGAAATCTTTACTTATTGAAAATTAAATGATCTGTCAGGTTCACTGAAATTTTAAATCCATTACAATGGAGACAGATTTGAAAAATAAAATAACAGCTTTCATATTGCACAAAAAGATTAAGTAATATAAAGGTTCCCATAAACATTATTATAGACTGGTGTGAGTCCCTCAGGTAGACAGACAATCTCTCATGAGCATCTATTTTAAAATTGTATCAATGAAAAATTATTTGTTGGAAAATGACTCGCAGCTGATTAGTCTGTGACAACATAAAACAGAGTAAGTAAATGTAGAAGACCACAAAGCTTCATGGCTACATAAGTAACTTCTGAAGATTCATGGGTGGCTTAACACCTGAGATTTCTGTAGTAGAAGTCTTCCAACAAAAACTAATTTAATAACAGATATTGTGAAAAGATTGCTTTCATCTGACAGCAAAATGCTTTTAAAGCTATTATCTGACAGTCCTTCATTTTACATACCAATTTCTAAACATCTTCTATTTGTGTTCTGATTGCAAACACATACGTGGAAAAATTCTAAGAGAAGTCTAAAAATCAGAAAGGCATTTCAGCTGTAATTCACATTGGAAAGAACATGGAATACCTTAAGAATACCCATATGCATTGCCAAAAATATTCAAATGGGTTATCAGATAGTGTAGGAGGCAACACCATCGAAGTGACAGGTCTTCTTTAAAGCTTGGAGGTGGAGACCATCATCTCTTCTTGGATGTGGTGACTAAAGAAATATCTCACTGAAGGCACCTCATATTTTATGAAACTGTTTTAGATTGAATTGTGCCCAAAGGTTTTCAAGATCAGCTGAGTGAGGAGCCAACAAATTCATTCAGGGCTTAAGAGATGTAAATCTATTTTCTATCTCTGTTCCTGATGTGACCTCAACAGAGTAAGCAGAGGCTCTGGGGGTTTGTTCTATCCTCTCTGAAAGAGACTGTTTAAATTGTTGTAAAGGTGGCCCTCCTCACAAAGCATTACCTGCATATTACTGTAGAACTCCCATATCACAGAATCACATAAATGGGCATGATTGGAAGGGAACACAGTGGGATTTTGCAGATTTGAGCTTGCCAGAAACACCAAATTTAACCCCAGTCATGGAAATATGATTTATTGGGCCAGGGAGACAACAAGTATAAAAATTGATTTCTGAAATTATCTGCACAAAAAAAAGCATAAATATCTTTTATACATACCACAAAGTGGAAATGTTATTATTCAAAGAGCCACTACAAATTGCTAAGTATAGGTGCAAAGTTTTATAATAACCAAACTCTAGTTTAAATTACATTTGGATGCATTTAATTAAATTGTGACATATACAGATATAGGGTTTCAAAAGTAATTAAACACATTAAAGGAACAAAAATCAGTCAAAGAATGTTAGATTTAGAAGACAACCCCTCTTGTACAGTCCTTCAGCCAACTGTTCAGCCAACTGGGATTTTTCAGGAGAGTATCTTAAGCATGTGTCCTGCTCAAAGACTATTCCCATAATATCTGAGACAGGTCAGTGGGTTCGGGAAACATCTTTTTACAAGAGTGGATCTGAATTAAAACTTTAAATTCAGTTCTGCAGGTCAATCTTATTTTGGTCTTTCCACACTTCAAAAGTAATGTGGTGCTGCCATCAACTGGAGTTAAGGATGTAAGGAAGATGGTCTTTTTGAGTAGAAACTGTGTTGTGTCACTGTGTACTTGAGCCTCTCAATTTGAGTGGGAGTTGTGTCTACACCTGGAAATTCAGAGGTCTTTTTGTCCATCAACAAAGGTAGCTTGCATGGTTTACATTTATAAACATGGAAACATCCAACCTGCTTCCTTCCTGAATGAAGTCTGAACCTTCCCTCGTGTATTTCTAACTTAGTAAGCAAAGCCTGACCTTTTGGATGTTTTTCATGTAATTCTTAGGGCTATCAGGAAGCTTCCAATTTGGAGCAGTTTGTGACTCGCTTTCTTTTGAAGGAGACCCTGAACCAGCTGCAGTCCCTCCAGAGCTCCCTGGAGTGTGCCACGGAAACCAGGAGAGCAGACCCAGCAGGAGAGGTGAGCAAACCCTCTTTGGCTGCAGGGAAGGGGGTGAGGAGTGAGAGCCTCCACAACTGCTTTACGTTTCACCCAGAAATCTGATATAGGCAATAACAGGAGAAATAAGGAGACACTTTTTAGGAACCCATTAATAGGAGTTTTCCTAAAATTGAATGCATCTTATCCTGTGTTGGATTGCCTGTAGGACAATAATTTTGGTACATGCTAGGTTCTGCTTACTTCTTTTTAAATCCCTGGACAGTTTACTATGTAGAAACCAAACCACTGCAATCTCTGAAATTACTAAGATAACTGACAGCTTTATAGTTCTTTTTTTCATACAAAATGATCTTCAGGTTAAAAGAAGAAATAGCTAGGCTTTGCTTGTCACAGCTGCTCCCTAGAATATATGGCCATATTCTTGGTTAACATCTAGCTCTATAAACTCTTAATTGCTTGGGTAGCCTTTATCCATCCAAGGGTTTTAACACAATTTAGTACAATGATCTCTGTGATGAGGGTTTGAAATGTTACTTGATTATATGGAATTTTTTCCTTATTATGCTATTGTTAAATACCATAGGGAAAGCAAAATACAAACTTGTGTTTTATGGACAAAGAAGATCTTAAGACCTTTCTGTTGGAAATGTAATTTTCTTTTTCTTTTAGAAATATCATTTTCTTGTTTGGTTTGCTGTTGAGTTTGAGATCCCTGAAGTACAGGAGTAATACCTGGTTTTGTGCCAGCATCTTGAGCAGGAATCAGTCAGGTTTTGAAAGCCTGAGGGTGCACCAAGCATGCACAGTGTCTGTGCACCTCTATTCATGCCAATTCCTCTGCAGTGATGCTACAACTCCTGTGAATGAAGAATGAATGATTACTTAGGTCAGGTCAGAACCACATCATGCACACATACTGACCTTGAGATTTGTCTCCCTCAAAGATTTTGGTTTATGCCAGTTTAACCCTCTTCTTTTTTTTTTTTTTTTCCTTTTAACTTCTTTAATGACCTAATCAAAACTAATGAGTAATAGTGGAAATCCAGAAAATAATTCAGTGCTCTCAGTAGGTATTTATTTTTATTTAATTCAAAAGGGAATGTAGAAGTGGACTTTTTGAAAACAGAGAGAGAAGAACTCTCCCACATATTTTTCCTTAAGAAGTATCCTGTGTTTCTGTGCAGAAAAGATCCAACAAAACCAGAAGTGCTCTCAGTTCAATGGCCAGGAAAACGCTTAGCTCAAAGGCTTCAGAGGAACTGCAGCCTGTCATCAAATAACCCTTATTCTAGCACAGGTATGGCATTTCAAATTTTAAACATATAGACATATATACAGAAAAATATACACAAATATTCCTCTCAAAAATTTAGTTTAGACATGTAACTAACTCAGATACTTTACTGACAGAAGAAAATTTCAATTTAATATAGTAGATACTAACTGAAAACTGAGGAAAATTAATGCATATCCATAGATCTGAAATTATAAAAGATAAAAACTTACTTGTGGGCCAAACTGTGTGTTTTTTATTGATTCAACATTTTCTAGGTAATCTGTCTTGCCTGCAAACATGAATGAAAAGGTGAAGGCTATTACTTACATACAACCAAGTTTTCTGCCATGACTTACATCTCAGCTGAGGGGAATAAATAATAAACAGAAAGGGAAAATACAAAACCTGAAAGAAAATAATATTTAATTTAAGGTAATGAAAAAAAAATAAAAAAAAAAACCCAACAACTCTGCAGTAGCATTTCTGCTTCGAAAATGATAGAGAACTTTGGTAAATGGGATTTTTTGGAAGCAGTGACATTAAGCATGAGGCTGCAGTGAAGACATCTCCATGCTTAGTTACATGTTCCAGAATCAAGGCATGAAGATGACTGAAACAATAAAATATCTAGTGGGTCTAGCTCACTTCTGGACCATGTGCTGACCACTTCCTTTTAAACCCTCTGCTGAGGACCTTTCTGTACTCATATTCATGACTCTCTCCCTGCCACTCACCAAATGATGCTGTTCTTTGAGAGCAGTGATGCAGGATGACGTTTGGTCTCTTGTGAATTGGTGTTCCTAACCAGGAAGGTCACAGAGCTGCATTCCTAATTCAGAAGAAACCCAAACAAATGCAAGCTCTACCAAATCCACTTACTGTATTGGTGTAATCTTAAAGAGCTAATAGCCTACTAATAGCTGTCAGCTGTCTACCTTCCTACACAAGGTTTGTGTTTGTCTTGGCACTTGGTCTTCCTGTTACTGCCAGCTGCCCACATGCACAGCAGCACTGTGGTGTGTATATGCACCCAAGGCTCAGGATAACATTTCTCCAGCCTATGTACCTGTTCAGGCAAAGCCAAACCCTGCCTCCTCTACCAACCACAGCTGTGGTATGTTCTCAGAATTAGGGTTTATTTGTTTGATCAAAATATATGCAAGTGCCACAAGAACTCTCAGCTGGGAAATGAGAAGGTGAGTGAATGTGCATAGCAAGGGCATTTGCTGAAAAATGTTCAACTTCTGATAAGTAACCTTCCTGTCTCCTTAATGCAATCACTTATGTACACATTTACATGGTGAGTGATTTCAGAAACTTCTTTAATAATGCAAATATTTGTTTCTTTGAGTATTGTCCTTTTCATTTGGCAGACAATTTTCAGGAGACTTTAGCAAAGCCAAAAATTCCAGAAACATTAGAGGGACTCACAGAATCACAGAATATCCTGAGTTGGAAGGGACTCATAAAGATCATTAAAGTCCAACTCCTAGCCCTGTATAGTGCCATCCCCAAGAATCACACCATGTGCCTGAGAGCATTGTCCAAAAGCTTCTTGAACTGTTGGTGCTGTGACCACTTTCCTGGGGGGCCTGTTCCAGTGTCCAACCACCCTCTAGATGAAGAACTTTTTCCTGAAATCCAACCTAATTCTCCCCTGACATAGCTTGATGCCATTCCCTTGGGTCCTGTCCCTTGTCACTCACACCAGAGAGAAGAGATGGGTACCCATGTCTCCTCTTCCCCTCACAGGCATTTGCAGACTGCAGTGAGGTCTCCCTTCAGTCTCCTCCAAACTGAACGAGCTAAATGACCTCAGCTGCTCCTCGCAGGGCTTCCCCTCAAGACCCTTCAGCACCTTCATAGCCCTGATGTTTGTGCCTGTCTAGAACAGAATTGTCTAGCTCCACCCTTGCTGTATGACACCAGATTGGGTTGCATGGGGCACTGAGCAATCTGATCTAGTGGAAGGTTCCCTGCCCGTGGCAGGAGAGTTGAAATTCAACGACCTTAATAGACCCTTCCAACACAAACCATTCTATGATTCTATGATCAGGTCACTACACAGGCAGGAATATACCTGCAGTGGGGATGCAAAACTTTCTTCCATTACCAGCATGATTTCAAAAGCATTTGCATTAATCTAGAATGTAGTTTTCATTGTGTATTGGATTTTTATTGTATCTTAAACAGAAAAAAATCATTCATAGAGTCAAATCATGCTTTCCTGTAGTTTCACCTAAATGAATATTGAACTAGTTGCAGCAGGCTTTGAAAAGCCAACAAATTTGCAGGGTAATTTTTTTTTTTAAATACAGGAATACACAATCTACCAGCAACTTAGCAACATTTTGTAAAGTTTATCTTTTATGTTTTTCAAAGGTTGGATTGAGGAAGACAGCCAATGGGTAATCCAGATAAACAGACTCCAGAAGCTAATTGATAGACTGGAAAAGAAGGTGTGCGGGCTTTTTCACCTGTTTCTTCTTTCACTGTCAGTAAAGCAATCCTTAAACCACAAATGTTTTCAATGCCCCAGTTGCAATTTTACCTAAGAGAGCTAACACTTATTAAATGCCTACATTTTTCTTCCACCTTCCTCTTTCCTATTCATGACATTGTTTTTCCATGCTTCCCTTTCCCCCTCCCATCACCACAGATTGAACTTTTCATAAAGATGTGAAAAATTGTATTATTCTATGTCTGGAGTATGCTAATGTATTCAGTAGTGCTTGTTTGGGGGAGCATGCTACAACCTCCCCCTTTTATGATCTGATCTTTTCCTCTTCCTCTCTAAACCTTCCCATAAAAGCTTGACAGAAAGTTTTGTTTCCTCTTTTCCCATCAGACAATACTAATTTATAAAGATTAAACCACTTTTCTTGTCAGTACAGTTCAAACAAAGTCTGATGAAAATGTTTTTGGGAGCTGGCTGCAGCAGCCCCCAGAGCCCAGAAATCACCTGTGTAGTTCCCACAGAGCCCTCCAGGAGTCTGACAAATCATCCATCTGATCAACAATGCCAGGGCTTCCCAGTGCTTCTAAAATCCTGAGCCACATCTGTCAGTACAGAAAACATCTATTATTCTTCATTATTATTCAGACTTGATTTCTATTCTGATGTTCAAAAGTTGTCTGTGTGTGATGATTTCTTTTTCTTTTTTGTTTGTTTGTTTGAGAAGAAAAAACAACATAGGGAGAGCAAGGCTATAAACTCCTGAGTTGTTCTCAGGATTATTTTTCCCCTTTTTAAGGACAGACAGACAATTTCACATATGTACTAAGGGAGTGGCTGAATTCAGTGGATTTTGAGACCCAGGGTGTTTCTTCCTCCTTGTCCCCTAGAGGTGAGGTTTTGGGTTGAAGTGCTCTCAGACCCAGGAGTAGCTCCAGTCCCACTGCAGCTGATGCTGTTCCTCCCCACAGGTCAGTTCTCACCAGCAGTGAGGCTTTGACTGTACTGCAAAGATGTTGGCTTGGGTCTCTTCACCAGCCCACACACAGGCAGCACTCACAGGGACATGAAACAGCCTGATCTTATTCTTTCTTTCTAGCTGATTGGGATATTCCCCCATGATGATTATTATCTAGTATTTGTGGCTGGATCCATACCCCTTTCCCAGGCACTGGCTCAGACCTTGGGTCAAGGCAGAAAAATGTCTCCTGTTACTCAACCACTAGTCCAGCTTGAGTTCAGTAGCAAGTTACACACACAGAAAAGAGTTAAGTAAGGGATTTAACAAAAAAAACCAAACCAAAACAAAAAAACAACCAAAAAACAATAAATGGTGGTGACTTGGCACAGGTCTCAGCAAGAGAAGTGCACTGACCTTTCTCTGCTGTTCCTCCCTCCCAAATGAAAAAAATGTTCCCAATTACCTTTCCTCTTCGGTCCCAGTTTGGTGTTTCTGTTATCTCATAATTAATACTGATTAGATGAATATGGCCACCCCCAACACTCCTGGCCTTGCTCCAAAAGGAGCCCAGTGTTCCCTTTGGTTATCCCTGCAGTCTGACAGTCTCTCACATCACTTCTCCTTAACCAGCTGTGAAGTTTGGCCATTCCCTGTGGCACTGTCCATGACTTCTGTCAGCTTCTCACCCTGCTCCTTGCTGTGCTCCGCACTCCTCGTGGTCTGCTCAGTGCAGGAAGCTCTGGCCAGGGAATACCCTCTGTCCAAGCGCTTCCTCCTGGAGGCCATTTCTGCATGGGAAAGGCAATTACACAGCAGTTGCCACATTAATGACATTTTAGTAGCAACTTGATCTTTTTCTGAATAGATATAAATTGGATTTTGAAATGTCAAAGTCCACCATGAAAGGTAAGTCTGGCTTTACTCCCCACTCAGCTTTGAAAACAGCAGCTCACTGCCCTGCCACAGTTGCCACCTGACATGGACTGATGCCAAAAGAAAACATTGAAAAGAATGTTACTTTAAGAAGAAACAAACCTGGCATTCACTAATAATGCAGTGCAAATGTTACAGAAAGCAGCCAAACATTTTGTGGTAAATAAACTTACCATAAGGACATTATAAAATGATCAAATTTCCTACAGACAAATGACAGAGAACCTGAGTCTGAAAAGGGGCTCTGTGCCAAAGGGAGACAGTGGAAGGGCATAGACCGCCCATAATTACCTCCTTGTCAATATAAAACTTGATTAATAAAACATAGCAATTACAGAAGTCTAATTTTTCCAGTAGATAACATATCTATATTCACCTTTGTTTAACTTTGCATCTGCTTGAATTTGTATCTCACAGACATATCTGACTTTGAGAGGCATTAAATACCAGCTGTCTTTACAAAAACCCCTCTTTTTGTCTTTACCCCAAAACAGGATAAAAAGGATTGCACAATCATGCTAAAAAGCAGTTTCAGAAGCCACCACTTCTCAGCTGAGGTGGCGTATGATTGCAAAGGCATTTTAAAGCCTCTGAGCTGCATCCATTTTTATTTCCAGGCTTTGTTTACATATACTGGCAAAGAAAACAATTATTTTCTTGCTATGTTTAGAGAAACTTCGCAGCACTTCCTGGAGTCCTTCCTTTCCTCTCATTTTCCATGTTTCCTGAGGGAAAAAATGGCAGTGAAAGTGAACTTTCACTTCAGGAATACACATTTTTCCCTCAGTTTTTTTATCCAAAGTGTCTGCACTGACAATAAAGCTGGATGTCTTTCCCTTCCCACACACATTTCATGACTTTAACTACCCAGCAGCTTCTGAATACTTCATTCCTGCCTTGCTCTGCCACCTGCTGCTGGTGGAGGTCCTCTGCTCATTTGAATTCTACCTGCACATCTCTTGTTGGCTTTTCAGCAAGTACAGCATCTGTGCTGGCAGAACAGCTGCTACCTGGGGTTAACTAATCCTCACCCACGCTGGGAGTGGAAGAAGATTTTTATCTTTGTTGCACAAGATCTGTGTTCAGTGAGACGTGAAGCACCACAAACAGAGCATGTCTTGCTCCAGCTGCTTATTGCAAATCAATCTGCTTTTTTGTCTCAGGCATATGGGTATTTTTCAGAATATCATAATGGCACTGGGTTAGGAGGTACTGCATGTGCCTGGCAAGTAAAGAATGATTCTGTGTGTGCTACTGGTTGGTGTTTGTGTGAATCACTGATTCCTGAAGTGCACATCCAGTTTGGGACCAGGTCCACTCACAGACACATCTCTTTGCTGCCACCCAGCCCAGTCTCACAGCAAGGGCAGCAGTTCAAAAACCTGACTTGGACCACCATGCACATCTCTTTCAATGGTAGAAAACAGCCTCTTGCAACCACAGACTTCCTGCAAGGAAGTTTCTTCTGTGTAAAGTTTTATGATTGCACAATAGTAGCTTATAGTCCATTTCAAATTGCCATTCTTGCTCATCTCCACAGTCCATGAGACAATTTGAGAGGATGTCTGCCTTTTCTCAATTAAATCCAACATACATTTGGGAACAGGCAGATTTGTTAAAATGAAAAATCACCTGCCAAGCACTATAAATAAAACTTTACAAGACAGCCTGGGCTGGAATTAACCACTGAGGCATCCAGGATCTTGTAAAACTTGTGTTTGACCTAGAACTAATAAAGAAGATATTTAACTTCTTGAGGTAGAACAGAATCTAATTATTGAATATTTTGTTAAAAAATGTAAGAGAGTAATATAGCTGTAGTATTGACTCTTTTTACAATTTCTATTTTCTTTTCAATTGCCTCAAAGGACCTAAAGCTTGAGCCACTTGAAGAGGAAGTTTTGGAAGAAAATGCAAGATCTGTAAGTACTGTTCAAGATAATGATTATGACATTTTCTTTTAAACATCAGGCATTGAGACTACACCTGGTCTATTTTGTTAAAAAATAATTTAAAAAATCTTTATCCTCACTTTTTCCAGTGATAAGAATCCATTTATTTAGCAGAATATACTGCACAAAAGGCAACAGAACAAAATTTAGAATATGTGGGTAAAACCTTTATATTAACTTTTTGTGTTGTTTTTAAAGGATAGAGTGAGCCAAAAACCTAACACACAAAGGGATAATAATGTGTCATTAATAAGATTTATAAAATTTGGTAGCAATGTTTATGGGGGGTAGCTTCTCTGCTCCAAATGCTGCAAGCATGCTTTACCCACTGTTGTACAACCTCCCTCCCTCCCAAAACTGCTATAGGAAATCCTGTGAAGAAAAATGGAAGAGTACCTCGTGCTCATTACAACCTACAAAACTAAAATTGTGACCAGAAATAAATTTACTGTTTAACAAGTTTATTTCCAAATATTGATATACTAGCATTCCTAAATTCATGAACCTAACATTCATTCATTTGAACCTAACAAAATGCAAATCAAATATACATGAATAAATTATTTAATCACAGGAGCTGCATTCGATTTTTTTAAATGAAATTATGCAATATTGCTACACAGACTGCTTATAATCCATGATATAACAGTATTCTTAATCAAGGCTGAAAAAAGTAAAAAAAAACTGTACAAGAAATTAAGTCATACTCATTAAGAAGCACATAGTGTTGCTTTAAATATTCCATTAGTAAGGTTGACAAACTTCAATAGATTAATCCATAAATAAACTACTTGAAAGACCTAAATGATAATTATAATAATTCAGGATAAATAGGTCTTCTGCACTGCTGACTGTTTCCATAGTCCTGTTTATAAAGACTGTTCATTTTCCTGCAGAATTATGGATGGAGAACCCCTTCTCAATTCATCACTTAATGTGGACTATCTTAGGCATCTCAGTCAGGTGAGGGTCAGGGCTCCAAAAGATAAAAACTAGGAAAGCACCTTAATAAAAGCAACAATGCATCCAGTGCAGGTTGTGGGGATACGCTCTTATCCCAAACCTCACAGCTGCTGGCATACAGATTCATCCAAGGAAACACACTGACTTTATTACTGAACATCTCAAAGACCAACCTTTGCTTTGCCCTCTCCTGAAAAGACTCTCTCCTCCAGAGTTAGAACAATGGTCTGAAGTGGACGCTCATGCCTAGACACAAAAGCCCTGCTTGAGCATTTCTACTTCTCCACTCTAGAAGAATAAAACAGGGACTGCAAACTTCAAGGGAACTTCTGTGGGTTTTATTTTATGATTGTGGTTTTATTGTTATTATTATGATGGTGTGTTTTATTGTTTCATTATAGACTTTTCTGAGTCTATCATGGAATTAGGAAGAAGCCGTGGCAGTAATATTGTAATGGTTTTGTATCAGCACATTATGATCGTTCAGCAGCAGATGTCTGTGATAGAAGAAAAAGTGGAGGAATTCCATCTTGCTCTAAAGCAGTACCTGGAATCTGCTTCTGCTCAAGGTGGCTGCTTGCAGTAAGTACAGGGTTATTGTCCTTGAGCTGAAGGAAGAAATGTGGTCTTTTTTCTTTAATAACTCAGATTATTTATGAAGGGAGAACCTGTGACACTTTTCGTAGTGGGTTACGTGTGTGTGTTAAGACAGAGCTTTTTAAAGACACCTAGGACTAGAAAGAGATACGAGAATGTGCAGATTTTAGGTACTTTCATAAAATAACTGTACATCCCAAAGATGCTAAACAATCTTTTTAGGCTTGTTAGCTCTTCAGGTCTTCATTACTTCTGGAAGCTCCCAGGCTGACTATCTTTACTGGAAAAGTCACTTGTCATCCTTCATTTATGCTCACCTGGAAAAGGAGCAACTTATCAACTTATTTTCCAGTTCTCTGCTTGGAAGCTTTCAGAATCTTCCCTTTAGGCTATCACTGTAAAATTTTAGTTCATAATAAAGAATTGGAAAAATTAAACATCAAAATTTTCAATGAAACTATGTTTCTGATTTGCTCCTTTTAGAATTAATAAAACATTAGAGCTGGGTTAAGAATAAGTTTTAGTGGCTTACCACTGTACTTGATTTCTGAATTTAACATAGTGGAGTATGTACTATCATACATACTATAGACCATTATGAAAAATATATTTTTGTAATGTGTACACAATACAGAATCTTCCCATCTAGTCAAGTGCTTCAAAGAGTGCCTGTCATATCCCTAATTTACGACTCTTGTTGCTATGAAATTATCACATTTAGGATTTTACCAGTAGTGTTCACATAGACCAGAAAAATTAAGCTGGAAGGAGTGTAATCTTTCTGCAGTGGTTCATTTGTAAAGGCAGACTGATGAGGAAAATAAAATTCTCTTGTTGGCCAAGAGATGGAAAAAAAACCCCAATGAGATGTCCTCCCAGCCTACTCCCAGAAATGAACATCCAGAAAAACACTGCAGTGATTGCAGACTTGTCAGGGAGGAGAGGTGACATAACTTCAGAATGCAAGTTAACAAATGGTGGCAGAAAGTTCTTTTCTTTCCCATTTTTACAGGCATTTGTTAAGTCTGCAATGCCACCTAACAGATGGGTTTTGTGGTAGCTATAATTAATAGTGACTTGTTTTATCCAACAGCTTTTGATATTTTTGCCATTTTACCATGCACTTTCACATACAGCACCAGAAAACCAATAAATCATAAAACATTGCTGACTACATTACGAAGCATAAACTGAGACCAGTTTTCAAACACAGCATTAGTGAGGTCAGCAGTCTCACACTTGGGCACACGGAAAAATCTGTATATATACTTTCTGTGCTACTTATCTAAACACCAATTTGAGTACCCAAGTAAATAAGTACCCTACACACTATAAAGCTTTTATGCTCAGGATAATAAACAGGATGATCCTGTGTAGAGGATCAACAGATATTCTGTGGGTCATTTTTCACTGCTGAGAAATTGTTACTTGAATAACTTAAGAACAAATAACTAGTATGCAAAATATTATTTTAAAAGCATATCTGCAGCAGGTATCAGCCCATATGGCTTTTCACTCCATAATATGTATATTTAATTTACTCCATTAGCTTTCAAAGCACTTAAATTCTATGACACTTGGATGCATCTCTCATACAAAAGGATAACTTCTACTTATTAGATTATCTTCCCTGAACAGCTGTTTGATTAATTTTCTGTTTAGTATTTGTTTAGATAAATTACACTATTGGATCAATATGAAAAACTAGTTTCATAAAAATATTAATTAATAAAAATCAATATACAAGGAGTTTTATTTTTAAAAGCTCAGATAATTTGAAGTATATGATCACTATGATCACTCATTTGTTAAGTTTATTAATTGGGTTGGTATCGGATTTGATTTTCTTGTTTTGTTCTGTGTTTTTTTTTTTTTCAAAAATCACTGCATTTGTTCCTACTGATAAGCAGTTAGGAATGAAATGTATACGTCCAGTAATTTTGTTTTGTTTCATTAAATTAGTTCTATTGTGAAATTTTAGTATTTCCATACAGAAGTTTCCAAGTAATTTCCACTTCATTGTTTATGAGTTCTGGGAAAACAACAATGCCTGGAATAGGTAAGTGTCAGGACTTTGGTGGTGTTCTTTTTTTTTTTTTTTTTTTTTTTGGCAACGAAGGTTAGAAATCAATTATGTAGAAAGACAGTACAAATTACTTTAAATACTGCTAACTGATTTTTGCTAAATATATCACAATTAATACTTCAGAACAATGCTTTAGTTGCTAAAGACTTGAATATACTGAAACATAAATGAAAATGCCAGAAAGACAACAGTGATTATTCAAAACAGAAGAAGTTCGAAAGTGAGTACATAAAGATATAGTATTAGGTGGATATTAGTTCATCAAAGACAGAAAACCAGGAATCCAAAAATATCACCAGCTTCATAAGGAAGAAACAAATGACACAATTATTGAAACAGAAGATGTGCCAGCCTGCAGCACACTTCAGGAGTTATGGGGAGCTCTCCCAAAACTTCCCAATCCACACCATAGGAACCCATCCAACAGACTCCCAGAGAGTCTCTTTTGGGCCCAAAATAGAAATTATTAAACATCCTACCAGCTGAATTCTAGCCTCCAGCAGGCAGAAGACTAAGGAACTGAGTAGAGACAAAAGGATTGTCCTTATCTACATTTAGTTAAAACACTCAAATACATCAAACCTGTGAGCCGAAATCTGTAGCAAGAACCTGTTCTTAGGGAGATGGAGAACAGGTTTGTTGCTTTCCTTTCAAACAAAACCCCAGTTTTACTGGGTTTCCTATCACAAAGACTCAGGAACACGTCAACACTGTACTAGCTCACAACCAAGAGATGATCATCAGACTGACAGTGAGCTGCACAAAGAAAACCTGTGTTTAGTATAACATCCAGACACTTCATAGCTTATCTGGTCTTCTCTCCCACTATCACTGTAAGTATTGAAGCACAGAATCTTTGTAGAGCAATAATTGTGAAATTTCTTATGTTCATTTAAAAATTGGGCCCATTTAAAAACCTATTACATTTTTCTTTTTTACAATTATTTAGCCACCTTCAAATGAGTTACAGCAAGGCATTCCAAACACGTAAAGTGGATTTCTTGGAAACTCCAGAGCTTATCGCAACAATGCTAGTCCCTGGTAAATACCAACTTTTCACTTCTTTTTTTTTGTTATATGTGAAATGTTCTATTAGTGTGTTCCATATGCAAGACCACTGCATAACATCACCCTTATTTAGATCTTCTTTGAGAATATTCTTCTCTTCTAAAGTATAGAGGAGAAAAGGACTCCAAATGTTTTTATTTGAACCATAATAATATAAAATGCATCAGCAAAGAGAAGACCCACAGTGCTTTATTTTACATAGTGTGAAGTAGCACTGACACACTATTCAAGAAAATACCTAGAATAAACAATACTATTTGTGAATGGTAAAATAGATCCCATTTAAGATTTTAATGGAAAAAAAACGCTTTCTGATTAAGATTTCAATTTATTCCTACTTACATTGACTGAAGGGAGCCTTATTTAACATTAATTGATATTTACCAACCAACTTGTTGTACACACTTCCTGCTATGTTAAAAAAAAAAGCAAGGTAGTAAATATTCCAAATTATTATTCTTAATACAAAACAATGAGCATGTAACATTTTTCTCCTAGAAATAAAAGACACAGTGCAGGTGCAGGATGAAGCAAAGAAAGCATCAGTCCCATATTTACAGAGAGAGGACAATTTTTTTTTTTTTAATTTTAGGGAACACAAATATATTACAATGAAGTCCTAATTTCCTATGTGTCTGAGTACAGACTAAATTTAAAATAATAAAACTCCATTTAGTAGAAAAATAAATGTAGTCATGTACCAGGGGTTTGTCCTTAAAAGAAACCAGCCAAGACATCTTCAGATCTCATGAGCCTGATGTGGACACAAAATTATATGCCCGGGACTCCTGCAGAATCAGGACATTAAAGTTAATGAACCAAGCATCCCTTGTATCTTACTGGGATATTGCTGGATTTAAGAAAAACTTGATTGTAGGAAACAATGAAGCTTTTTCCCAAAATTCTTTGTGTCCAAGAGACTGCACATGATCCAGCAGTGTTCCAGGGTAGTTTATTCATGGGTAAAGTACAATTAACATAAAATAAAATGGAAACATAATTTTTAAGTGCCTAAATATGGAAGTGTCTGAAATTCGGTTCAAAGTACTCATTAAAGCATTTATTCTGCCTGCTAAGAAGGATTTCAGTCGGCAGCACTCTGTCCTGGCAGACAGTTACCATAGAAACAGTATTTCTGTGCACTCCTTGCTGGGGTTGGGGAGTGGGGTGGGGCAATGGGAATTAATGCATTCAATGTACAATTTTATACATTACCTGTAATTTAGAAATCTGTGCAATGATTTCAACTCTGTTTCATGGAAAGAGCTTCCCACAACTGATCTATACAAACCATATTTGTGTTTGAAAGTGATCTTGAAGTAAAAAACGGTGGCTGCAATCCCACCAGTAGACTTTAAAAAAGAATTTTAGACACCATAAAGTGATATCACTGTAAAATCAGGAAGAAAAAAACCCTAAACCTGTCTGCAATTAGAATAAAGAGAACACAGATACGCTCTATTCTAAAAAAAAATACACCATTGCTCAGAAACTTCCAAACTTCTTTTACACATCTGGGTGGATAATTGCAAATTGTAATCTGAATCAGATTAATTCAAAATTTACAACCCTTAAGTCTTTACCAATTAACTAAAATTAGTAAGGATACACTTATGTAGCCAAGAATGATTAAGGAAGACAAGCTACTATAACCACTCATACACCTGTTAACTCACCCGGTTGCTTCAGCCAATCCACCAGGGTGGCATGAATCACTTAGTTCACATTCAATGAATGTCTCATTTTTATACAAGAGGACTTGAGGACTCTAGAGAACCTTTGGGTGAAGAAAACAAGATAAGGGGAAAACACTGAACAGTTATAACACTATAACCAATGAAATAAGTAGTTAAACTGGCATTTTTGGGGGCTGAAATAATAATCCACTAATGTTTCAAAGACTGCTAGACTCATAGCCTGAATTCAGGTAGGACTCTGAGTATTTTCTCATCATGTTTCTTCATGCATAATAATTTTCATTAAAATAGCATTAATGCAAGCATTTATGGATACATACATAAGAAATTTGTAAGAAATAAGAAATAAGTAAGAAATAAGTTCTGCTAATGAATTTCTATGTAGTGTGAAACCTACATAGCCTAGAACACCCCTCTACTAAAGACACTTGGCATCTCAGATACAGTCACAATTCCTTTCTTTCCTTCCCATCTCGTTCCATAAATCTTGTCATTCCTCTCTGCATAAGGTTCCATTTCAAAAGACCAAAGGCCTTTGATTGTGGGGAAGAAACACAAATTGGTTTCACTCCAGCACTACCTATAATCTGGTGATTACTGAACTTTTTATGGGAATGACATTTTACAAGTTCATCAGTTCTCTTACTTTTGAGGACAGAAAGTAATTAATTCCTACAGTTTTGTAAAAAAACTTACCCAATTTGAATAAAGTCACCAGGAAAGCAAGTCATTAAAGCTAACACAACTACCCAGAGAACACAGTGCTTGTCTTAAAAACTGACACATACAGCAGCATAGGACTGAGGATTTATTTGGTTTGCTCTTAGGGCACTTAATTCTATGCAGCTGTACCTATGACACATTAATGATTCTTTGTATGTTATCAAAAAGAGATATAATTCTTATGATAAAGCCACCTTCCCACCACTTACACTCAGCTCTCCCAGTATTCTGAGAATTTTTTCTCACCAGGATTAGCTGCACATATAAACAAACATTTAATTATAGGTTAATAGGTTATAGGTATTTTATTTAGAATTTTTACCAGAGGTCAAAAAATAAATGCAATTTATGCTAAAAAATAAATAAACTCTGCTTTCTTGCGGCATTGTGGTGGGTCCTCAATAACAACTAGAAGCTGTGGTTCCAAGTAATGTTAATGTTATATTGTCTTTCATTACAGTAACACTTACATTGCAGTCTACAGGTGAAATTATGATGTAATAACGTTTGTTATTATTGGTGGGATCTTTTCCACTTTATCCATTCTAAAATCTGGAAGACTGTGCATTTATTACCTTTTTTCTTGTGACTAATTCAGTGAAATGATGCATTCTAAAAACTGAAATAAGACAACAATGATAAATATTTATTTCTGTAAATAAGACAATTATGATAAACTGTTTATTTCTGTGACAATCCAGACTGTCTCAGAAAAGTATGTCTCGAATGTATGAGTAAACATTTGTGAAGTTTTATTAATGCATTAATAAACAACCATTACTTAATAATGCTGTGGTCTCCTTTTACAAAAGAAAGAAGTATGAACCTGAACACACCTGAAAATTCATATATGTCTGCAAAGAAGCTGTAAGTCATTAATGAAAAGAATAAACATAGGAAAAACCCTTTGCCCTAATACAGAACTTCCACCAGGATATTTTCTGTTCACAAGACAAGGCAGCACTTAACAGACTCAGCCCTTACCCTCCCAAGGGGAAACATATCTGCCTATCTCTTGTCACTACAGATCTCCAGACTGCACAACCTCAATGTCCTGACCACTCAGAAAATATTTTCTTTAGCTCTCAGGCAAGTCACTGCAAAATCATTAGAGAAACTGCAGTTAAAGCATAAATAGCCATAGACCTTGAACTTGTTTGGAGGTTGGTTCTAGCAGGGGGCAGGGCTGCTGTATACCCTTGACAGATGAACAGCACCATCTCCATGGGGGGAGATCACCCTCTTCAACCAGGCTGCAGCTTTGGTAGGGATGCACATGGAGCATTGAGGAGGAAGTGGATGCCCACCAGACCAGCTGGGTCAGCTCATTCGACCTGGTCATCAGTGGGGTGGCAGAGATTGCAGCCAGACTGCCCTCACACCCAGACCCCCCCCAGGTCTGGGGGTCCTGGTTGATTAAATATGAGCCAGCAGTGCCCTGGAAGTCAGGAGGGCCAGCCCTGTCCTGGGATGCATCAGGCACAGCATCACCAGCCAGGCAAAGGAGGGGATTGTCCCACTCTGCTCTGCACTGGGGCAGCCTCACCTCAAGTCCTGGGGGCAGTTTTGGGCACAACAATCTAAAAGAGATATAAAGTTTCCAAAGAAGGGCCATGAGGATCATGCAGGGCATGCAGGGGAAGCCATACAAGAAGTGGCTGATGTCACTTGGTTGGTTCAGCCTGGAGGAGACTGAGGGGAAACCTCATTGCAGTTTGCAACTTCCTCATGAGGAGGAGAATCGGGCACTGATCTCTTCTCTCTGATGACCAGTGACAGGACCCAAGGAAAATAAAGTTGTATGAGGGGAAACTGAGGTTAGGCATTAAGAAAAGGTTCTTTACCCAGAGGGTGGAGGAACACTGGACCAGGGCAGTGGTCATAGCACCAAGCCTGACAGAGTTCAAGCAGCATTTGGACAATGCTCTCAGGCACATGGTATGAGTCTAAGTGTATCCTGTGCAGGGCCAGGAACTGGACCTCAGTGATCCCCGTGGGTCCCTTCTAGCTGAAGATATTCTGTGATTCTGTAAGACCTGGAAGTAGCAATACTTGATTCCCTGGCAAGTCATGGTGTTTTCACCTGCATCTGAGGAGGATATGGGCCTTCAGCCCCAAGAATGGGCAAGCAACCACTGTAATCTCACACCTCCACAGCAGGGTCACAAGCTCAGCATGCTACATGACCACTCTCTCCATCCATTTAGCAGTCTAAGGTTACAAACAGTACCCAAAAAGAAACTTTAAAATCATGTTCAATAAAATACTGTCTTGTTTCATTTTATTTCTTTTCAACAAAAAATGTTACCATATGTAATTGAAAAGGGAATTTCAACTATAAACAAGCAGTCTTCATTGCAGTAAGGTCCTGTATTCCAGAAATCACAAGGTCTGAGCTCAAGATTAAGAAAGGCATCACATTTAGGTTCCTGCATGTGACCAAGGCAATTCGGCTCTCATTTTATCAGTAAAGTTCTGAGGTGAGTTCTTTGCCTAAACAAAGGGATCTAGTGCATGTGAGTTACTGTAGAGGACACCAAGTGGTCTCTATCTCCCAGCGGAGGATGACACGTGTTACCTCTAGTTTGTCATTTACACCAGGCCCACGCAGCATGCGGACTGGAATTCCAGGTGAGTCTCGGATGACACAGATGCCTGCCTTTAACCAATTGAATCAAGCCCTTTGCCAATGAAATTCATGAGGCCTTGGTTCATGTGGATGTCAGAGAGGGATACATGCACATCTCAATTTATGTGCCCACATTACAAATTTCACCTTTATCTCTCTCACAGTAACTCAGTGAATGCTTCTAACACTAAAGTCCAAGGCTTTCCTGTACTGACATGATCCAGCTACCAATCTGTCCATTTGTAAAAGGGCACTGTAATTACCCTCACAAATGACATGTGTATAAGTTTAAAGGTTTCTTGTCTTAATCAAAGTAAATCTACTCATACTCCTGAACATCTGGCTGCTGTTTTTACTATGCCAAGATGTTAGGCTAGTGTATAGCATGGGGTTCTTTTGTCACTACTGACCTACCAACAAAGGAAATAATGACACGTGACACAGATTCAGGGAAAAATCCTTAAAAATTACATACTACAGTAAGATTGGTGACATTTTTCCTTTTCACTAGGAAAAATGTATTAAAATCATTCTTACAGTAACTTGCTTTAGAACTTCATGTCAATTAGGTGCTGGAAGGGTGAGAAAAGTTGTAGCAAGTCATATGTCCTTATAAGAGTTACTCACCTTTTTATATATACCAGTAAACAAACACTTTGATGAATCATACACAAGAAGAAGTTTGAGAAGTTACACTTAGGAGTTTTGAGAGCTACACACAGAAATTGTCTTTGACACATACTGGAAAAAAAGATCCATATGACTCACTCTAAGGAATTCCCAGTGATTAAAAACTAACCAACAAAAATATTTATTTGCATCATTCGGAAAAAGAAATCTAGTGCTGATCCAATGCAACTTGACAGGCCTTTGCATTACTGCAATTGCCATTTAACATATCCTCATATAGCTTTCGTTATCATTTGTGACAGAGGGTAAAAAATTGTCTGCAGTATGCAAATTATATTATTATAGGTCTAAATACACATTTAGAAGTTAATTCTACTCATACAAAATATTTATTATTGATGCCTGTAAACTGATAGATGCTTTCAGGAAACTCTTGAACTACTGCTTTCCACTTCAGTATTGGATACCATACTAATTTAAGGGAAAAAGAGAGAATTGAGTTTGCATTGGTACACCCATTTACCCACATAAGACATAGGATTAAAATCTGTCTTGTTCCTCAGTTTTTCTTATTACTTTCACTTTTCAGTCAAGAACACTGGACAATTATTTTCAAAGAACTTTAAAGAATGTAGTGTATAGGCAGATCTCCTGATGCAGAACGAGAGAAATTTTCTCTGGTTAGTGAAATTATTACTAATAAGACACTTCATACCTTGAAAGAAGGTATGTATATCCACAAGATATTACAGAATATCTTGTGTCAAGATGAAGATTTCAAATTAAGAAGAAGGAAGTCAAGTTTTGTCAAAAAAAAAAATAAAACCTCTCTACTACTAGAGGAGTAGATACCCTATTTGACACAGCCAGTACTTGTTCTTTTTTACTTCTGAGGAAGGGAGTTGGGAGCAATCAAAAAGTCCAAGTCAAGTATTTATTTAGAATTTATGGTCAGGCAAAATATCTGGCTACATAACAAAAACAACTCAATGACAAAATTCTGCCACACCAATATGTAAAATTTTTTATTTTCCCCTTTAATCATAGTGCCATTTCAGGCATTACAAATTAAAGATTTGTTTCTTAAAGAATTCAAGCAATTACAGGAAGAAAACAGCATTTTCATAGGTTTCACAGGGTTGTACTTCCATCTGCAGGCACCCAAGTACCTTCAAAAGTCTTGAAGACCTACATCAAATGTAGCTGCCTCACTGACAGACTTCGGATCTTCCAAACAACATGTCACTTCTTGCAGATGTCAATGAAAGGTTTGTTCTTTACCTGCAAAACAAATCAACCCTCAAATTACTTCTGTTATAAAAGTTCACTTAAAGTTTTTATTTCAGTCTGCTTGTAACTCTTTTCTACTCCATGTTCATGCCACAATTTGGATTCTTTTTTATTATAGCAAACAGTTCTGTTTTCATTAATCATAAAGACTTCATCTAAATTTTTCCTACTGTGTGTCAACACAGTAGTAACATCTGTTCAAATGCTGAGCTATGTATCCCCATATCTCAATAAAACCCCAGCGTCCTTCGGGACAAATGCAGTCCACAGTCCACCAATTGTAACAACTGCATCTCCCTTCTACAAGTCATTATAGGAAGTTTTCTTCATCTGACAATACAACTTTTACTCATAAGAGGGCACATATTTCAGCAGTGGCTTAAAAAATTCAGGACTAGGAAAATCTTAGATAGACATGAACTGTCTGAATACTCAGTTCAGCAGCAAAATGTTGAAAACCACCTGCTCCAAAATACAAGCTCACTGACACTGTAGGATTGTCGGTTTGTCATTAGAAATTTATTCACAGGCCACCTTCTGCCATTTTTAAGTATCATTCATTTTATTTACACATGCATCTTGTCAATCCCTCTGGTTTCTGTGCAGAAAAACAGGGCTGAAATTTTGGTTGAACTAGGTGATCTCACTGATTTCTGTACAGGGACCTTCCTTTATCCTAGGAATGTAAACATCTGAAAGTGTACAGATTATCAAAATTTGCCACTCTTAGAAACACAGGTGGTGGGAGAGGGAGGAAAGTTAGTAAATTAGAGCTGAGACTTTTGAATCTGAAAGCAGGTTTTCAAACAAACAAAGCTTTCATCTTGAGGATAAATAGAAATATATAAAAAGTAAGATCAGGG